TTCTTGGCCACCCCCTCATCCTCCCTCCCTCCCACTCCGCCGCCCTGCTTTGCCATTTTAATCAGGCTTCCTTGTTTCTCTCTTCCCCACACCCCACTTCCTCCCTCCGTCCCCACCCAAGGTTTGCCTGTAGGTACCTGAGCTGACACCGAAGGTGCCTAAAGATGCTGAGCGGCGTCTGGTTCCTCAGTGTGTTAACCGTGGCCGGGATTTTACAGACGGAGAGTCGCAAAACTGCCAAAGACATTTGCAAGATCCGCTGCCTGTGCGAAGAGAAGGAAAACGTCCTGAATATTAACTGTGAAAACAAAGGATTTACAACTGTCAGCCTGCTCCAGCCCCCCCAGTATCGAATCTATCAGCTTTTTCTCAATGGAAACCTCCTGACTAGGCTGTACCCAAACGAATTCGTCAATTACTCCAACGCGGTGACTCTTCACCTAGGGAACAACGGGCTGCAGGAGATTGGGACAGGGGCTTTCAGCGGCCTGAAAACCCTCAAGAGACTGCACCTCAACAACAACAAACTGGAAGTGCTGAGGGAGGACACCTTCCTGGGCCTGGAGAGCCTGGAGTACCTCCAGGCTGACTACAATTACATCAGTGCCATCGAGGCTGGGGCTTTCAGCAAACTCAATAAGCTCAAAGTGCTCATCCTCAATGACAATCTTCTGCTGTCGCTGCCCAGCAATGTGTTTCGCTTCGTCCTGCTGACCCACTTAGACCTGAGGGGGAACCGGCTGAAAGTCATGCCTTTCGCTGGTGTCCTTGAACACATTGGAGGGATCATGGAGATTCAGCTGGAAGAGAACCCATGGAACTGCACTTGTGACTTACTGCCTCTCAAGGCCTGGCTGGACACCATAACTGTTTTTGTGGGGGAGATCGTCTGCGAAACTCCCTTTAGGCTGCATGGGAAGGACGTGACCCAACTAACTAGACAAGACCTCTGTCCCAGAAAGAGTGCCGGAGACTCCAGCCAGAGGGGCAGCCATGCTGACACACACGTCCAAAGGCTGTCACCTACCATGAATCCCGCCCTCAACCCCACCAGGGCCCCGAAAGCCAGCCGGCCACCCAAAATGAGAAACCGTCCGACGCCCCGAGTGACGGTGTCAAAAGACAGGCAGAGCTTTGGACCCATTATGGTGTACCAGACCAAGTCCCCCGTGCCCCTCACCTGCCCCAGTAGCTGTGTCTGCACCTCTCAGAGCTCAGACAACGGGCTAAATGTCAACTGCCAAGAAAGGAAGTTCATTTACATCTCCGACCTGCAGCCCAAACCTACCAGTCCAAAGAAACTTTACCTAACAGGGAACTATCTGCAAACTGTCTATAAGAATGACCTCTCTGAGTACAGTTCTTTGGATCTGTTGCATTTAGGAAACAACAGGATTGCAGTCATTCAGGAAGGTGCCTTCACAAACCTGACCAGTTTACGCAGACTCTATCTGAATGGCAATTACCTTGAAGTGCTGTACCCTTCTATGTTCGATGGGCTGCAGAGCTTGCAGTATCTCTATTTAGAGTACAATGTCATTAAGGAAATTAAGCCGCTGACCTTTGATGCTTTGATTAACCTACAGCTGCTGTTTCTGAATAACAACCTGCTGCGGTCCTTACCTGATAATATATTCGGGGGCACGGCCCTCACTAGGCTGAACCTGCGAAACAACCACTTTTCCCCCCTGCCTGTGAAAGGGGTTCTGGATCAGCTTCCAGCCTTCATCCAGATCGATCTGCAAGAGAACCCATGGGACTGCACCTGTGACATCATGGGGCTAAAGGACTGGACTGAGCACGCCAACTCCCCTGTCATCATCAATGAGGTGACCTGTGAATCTCCTGCTAAGCACGCAGGGGAGATACTGAAGTTTCTGGGGAGGGAGGCTATTTGTCCAGAAAGTCCAGGCTTGTCCGACGGAACCATCTTGTCAATGAATCACAACACAGACACACCTCGGTCGCTTAGTGTGTCTCCGAGTTCCTATCCTGAACTCCACACTGAAGTCCCACTTTCCGTCTTAATTTTAGGATTGCTTGTTGTTTTTATCTTATCAGTCTGTTTTGGGGCTGGCTTATTTGTCTTTGTCCTGAAACGTCGGAAGGGAGTGCCAAGTGTTCCCAGGAGTGCCAACAACTTAGACGTAAGTTCCTTCCAATTGCAGTATGGGTCTTACAACGTGGAGACTCATGATAAAGCAGATGGCCATGTCTATAACTACATCCCCCCACCTGTGGGTCAGATGTGCCAAAATCCCATCTACATGCAGAAGGAAGGAGACCCAGTGGCCTATTACCGGAACCTGCAAGAGTTCAGCTATGGCAACCTGGAGGAGAAAAAAGAAGAGCCGCCTACACTTGCTTACACAATAAGTGCCACCGAGTTGCTGGAAAAGCAGGCCACACCAAGAGAGCCCGAGCTGCTGTATCAAAACATTGCCGAGCGAGTCAAGGAACTCCCCAGTGCAGGCCTCGTCCACTATAACTTTTGTACCTTGCCTAAAAGGCAGTTTGCCCCTTCCTATGAACCTCGACGCCAAAACCAAGACAGAATCAATAAGACGGTTTTATATGGAACTCCCAGGAAATGCTTTGTGGGGCAGTCAAAATCCGACCACCCTTTACTGCAAGCTAAGCCGCAATCAGAACCAGACTACCTCGAAGTTCTGGAAAAACAAACTGCAATCAGTCAGCTGTGAAGGGAAATCATTTACAACCCTGTGGCATCAAAGAGTGCTGCTCCAAACTGTTGGAAGCCTGCATTCTTCGCTTTTGTGTTTGTGTTCTCCCTTTCCCAGCGGAGACAGGGGACCTTGAAAATGTTTGGGAGGTGGGGTGAAGGGATGAAACTGCATCTGCAAGTTTTCCTTTAAATTATTTCTCTCTTGCTCTCCACCCCACCCTTTTTCCCCTTCTTTTCTTAGGAACCATCAGTGAACATAAATGTTTCTTACGATGCATTTTTTTTTCATATATTTTGTTTATGGTTCTGTTTCTTTGTTCTTTTCTTCCAGTGTGGTAGTGGAAAGGGGAGATGATAGTGAATGAAGGAAGAATAGGGAAACTTTTCAAATGGAAATGGATATTTCGTGTATTTTGTGGAAGATCTCCAAAGATCTTTTGGGACTATATCTTCTTTTGTAAATAATGATATATGGTATTCCCATGTTCAGTTACCAAGTATAGCCACTGGGCATCACTTCTTTGCGTTAAAGTGCCTTCGCACTTTAAGTACATTACTTAAATGTTGCTTTTAGCTTTGAGAAATTGAACATATTTTAATGTGTTGTATTTTTGAAATTGAAAACACTGTAAAATAGATCGATATGTCAGCTCTATTAAGTCAACGTACAGTTTGCTTGAGTTATAGAAACCAGCCTGTCATCAAATGATTCTAGTTCTAGAACTTTATAGACTTAACTGTAAAATATTTCCTTTACTCTGAGTTTGTTTAAGTGATTTTTATTTAAGTCAACTAAGGGGACTTAACAGTGGCCTAGAGGTAACATGCCACCTCAGTCGGGATTAGTAATTCATTAATAAAATATATTTAACCCAACATCAGAGTGAATCGAACAATTAATGCCCTTCCGTAAATCATTATTTTACACTTACATGGTCAGTGTTTTAGATTATTTTCCTAATTAAGAGTACATTACACAACTTGTAATATATTTTTTCTGCATTAAATTAGATATTTTTATATATTTAAATGAAAGAGTCTGTATTTCTAACTTTTTAATTGAAATTAATATTTTTTCTGCCTATTGAAATATTTTCTATGAACACTCACCAGTAGAGGCCGCCACACACCTCATTTAACAAAGACATATGAGCCATTGAATACCTTGAAGAAAGACCTCCAAGGTGAGAATAAACTTCCCAAGTAAGTTCTCTGCAAATTCAAGGCAGCAGAGATACAAATGTGTACATCACTTCTTGTTTCTTTCAGGATCGCAGGTTAGACTCAAAATCTTTCTCAGTTTTCACATTTTCTGACGCAGCAGCATTTTCCTCTTGAATTTAATCGGAGTGTTATTAGGGTGCTCTCAAATCATGTACAATTTGCATCTCCAAATCAGTGAATAGCTACCTAAAGCAGGATAGTTAGCATCCTTCTTCTGCCTTCTCTAGGCATGTGTTACTTGAATCTGTCCTAGTCAGCTTGAGCGCATTTTTCATTTTGGTTTTAGTATTAAAATGATTTCAACTAACCAAGTCTATATAACATTCATGAAGCCTTATTAGTCTGTAAATAATGTTTAGATGCAAACACTATTGTGTGATTTAAACAAGCAGCCCTTCTTTACAACAAAAAATAGTTTTGTTTTGTCTATTGTAAATCCTTATGCAACTGGGATGGTGATCTGCATATAAAGTAGTCCAGCTTTTCAGTTCCTTATTAAAGCAAGTGATGGCGTCTGAAAGAAGCACACTGTTTCCTTTTCATAAATAGGTTACTGCACATAATAATCCTTTATTATCATGTGGAGATTGAAGTGGATCTTGATAACTTATTTTTAAAGCTTTAAAATGACTAGTTGTACATTGTCTATCACTGTAAACAATTCATGTGATAGGCTTTCAATTAGAAATTACTTAAATTCAAATTATTTGAATCAATCATCACTGGTGCAAAATAGTTTTTTTAAAAAACAATAGGAGGTGATTCTGTGTGTGCGTGTGTGCATGTGTGCGTGTGTGTATGGTGTAAAGGTTATTCAGGAAAAAAAATCCTTTAAACAATCTAAAAATCTCTGCATATCTACAGTGACAAAGCGAACATGTTCCTTCTTTGATCAGCAATCATAATTCCTATTTAAATCCATCCAATCAAAATTGAAAACGGTGGGCTTAAATGATCTGCAGGAAAGTTAATATACGGAGATTTTTACGTTTCACACAAGAGGAACTAGAGTATTACACTAGTTGAATTTGGTAATAGCTTCTGGAAACCACTTCATCTTTGAATGAAGTATTTACATGTAAAAACAAAAAAAGTTTAAAAAATTCCTCCTGTGGCTGCTGTCATTCATGGCTACTGTCATTCAGGGGCAACAATAAATACAGAATACAGATAGGTATCTTGGGAAGTGATTATAAAGACAAATTAGCATATATATTCTATTATGATAGAGTTGAAGCTTAAACTATATAACTAGAGATAGTGATGTGGTGATTTCACTTAACTGTTTATTTTTATTTTCCTGAAAGTAAAATCACTCGTAAAATGCCATTGTCCATAGAAAAATCAACTCATTATTCTCAAAGAGAGAGACCCTCATATTCGTTTAATTCCAAGATTTAAAGGAGGCCTCCTGGGAAAGCTCAAATTCATAAACTTTTGCATAATAATTATGGTTTAACTCTATATTCTCATGCTTCTTAGATTTGTATATTATTTGCGTTAGGTTTTTAGATAAAATCATTTGAATGTAGTGTAGACTGTTTCTAGAAGTGCATAATACACTGTGTACTTTGAAGCTTTAGTTTCTGATGCAGTCGTAAACACTAAGTTTTTTTTTTTTTTTTTTTTTTTTTTTTTTTTACTTTTTAGCATCCACACTGACTACATTCTGCATCTCTTTATCTGCTCAAGTACTTTCAAACATATTTTATTTTGGAATTTTCCTTTTTATCTCCTACAGCTGGATTTTGCTATTTCACTTTTGTTTCACATGCAGCTTGTAATGGGTATGAGCATCAGCACAGCCAAATGGTTCCAGCCAACAGAATGCCGTCTACCAGGGCCCTGCCTGGAACACATCTGTAGTCTGGTCCTGCAAATGGCAAATGGTAATTCTCTTCCATTCTGGCTCTTAATTAGTTACTGTCACTATTTCTGAATATACCTGTGGCTAAATTTGTGTTAAAATATTCAAACTACTTTCAGCCTGGACACAATTTCCTATAGTCTAATTTGGTTCTGGACTTTTGTCAACCTGTGTGCCTTGTTATTTCAGTCCAGTAGTTGGTGAGTAAGGAAATGATGCTTCAGTTTCCTCCTATGAGTCCACCAACCTCTAAGGTGACTTAACTTTCCCAAAGGCTTTCAAATTATCAAGAGCTTAATAGTTTATGAATTTTGCAAAAGTATGTAAAGGATGAGAGAGAAGTTCTGTGAATTTTCAGACCCCGAAAATGCATTGTGTTTGTATACATTGCCGAAGCATACTGAATTGGATGCTAGAGTGAAGAAAGCCTTCCAGATAATTCTCCCAATTCATTCATTTCTTCATTCATTCATTTGATAAATATTTTTTGAATGCTTGCTTCCTAGGTGCTAGACTATATAGTGTGCTGAGGGGACACAGAGATACATTAGCCAGATCTCTAACCCCTTCACCCACTTTATTATCCCCCCAAGAAGCTTACTGGTAATAAAGAAGACACTTACTGGAATGACAATCACCCAGATAAACGGTGAGAATGGTAATCCAATCCAGGACGTTGAGTGTTATAGATGATTTTGTGCAGTAGAATATAAAACATGTATCATAAATAGACTAGCTATACTCTAACCACTATTAACATCTCTTTAAAGTGGCACAGCTAAAAAGGAAGAAAAAACACATTTCTGCAGAATAAGGCCCGATATTATGGCCTAAAGATAGCCACACATTTGTGGTATCTAAAGATTTACTTTGTAAAGATGACTACCGAGATTGTAAATACAAACTCAAAAGCGTACTTAAATTTTCTGGAAAATCCATGTTTTAGAGGCAATATTTATATTTCAGTGGCTTAAAAGATAAGATTTTGGCTTAAGTGTTTTCTACGCATTCAATGATAAGACACTTAATCCTGCGAGAGAAAATTAAGCACTGTATATAGGTGTGCTTTGCTTCTCACCATGGTCGTGCAAAAAGTCATGTGTAAATTAAAGTTTCGTAAGTCAAATTGTATTTTCAATGCATTAGGAGAGCTGCCATTTAGTGGAAACTTACAAATCCTTTTATAAAACAGGAAACCATTTTATAATACAAATAATCATTCTCTAATTTATCTGTTTTATATCTTTGGATTTTCAATATTGACTTTGCTTATAACTGACCCACCTGCATAATAAGAGTGTGTTTCGCCAATGCTGCTTATGCTACCAGTTTCTTGGTTGCTAAGGGCTTATACTTGAAAGTCAGCTGCAGTTATGTATGAAATGAGCTGTCGTGCAATTCTGCAGTGACACGGTAGCAGTCCTGAGCAGTTCGAGTAGCCAACCCTTTCCAGTCAATATGAATGAAGGACTCTTCTGCTCAGCAGCGTCCGTCTCCTCTCTCAGAAGTGGCCATGTTTCCTTAGAGGGTAGAATGACTCCTGTATCCACCTTCTATAAAGTGTTAGAGTCACTGGTTTTATAATAAATATATTTCATTATGTAAACATATTGCATTGCATGTGTGTTGGAATTTTTTAGCAGTATTTTAGCTTGTAAGTACTTGTACAAATACTGTTAGATTTAGTTGCAAATAATTGTTCTCAAGTTATTGGAATAAATGGCAAATGAAACAAGCTCTTGTGTAAATAGAATTCTGTGCCAAATAGTGACATTGTTTTACAAAATAAATGTCATATATTGGGCTCTTAGTAGGCAAAATGAAATACTGAAAATGTGATCACATGATATTGTGTTCTATTGGAGACAATGTCTACATAGTTATTATACTGCAGTTAGTTTTCAGTTAATAAATATTCACTAAAATGAACATTTGAATTAGTTAGAAAAGCCCTTTAGAATCTAAACAGCAATTATTAACAAAATATTGTGGGAACTATCCTCCTTACTTAATATATACTGTTCAAATGCTTACAAATAAAGGTTCTTATTCTTCATATGATTATAATTTACATGTTTAAGGTAAAACAAGCTTTTTAAAAACATATTAATACTTTTCCATGAATATTTGTTAGTATCAGACTTTCAAAATTAAAAGTAAATAATATAAACAAAAACCATTCAGGGACCAGCAGTTAGCGTAATGGCTATGTTGCTGACCTCCCGTGCAGTCGGCTGCGATTTGAGTCCTAGACCCGGTGGCTTAAACTCACGCTGGGCACATGTGCGTGCGTGCTCAAGAGCCTGAGAGGAGAATGGAGGAGAAGGGATTGCTGCATGGCCATCCCTCCTGGGGGGTGATTTCTCGCTTTCTGTCTCTCTGTCGCTCTCTGTCTGTCTAGTGAACGCACACACTCTATAGCAAAAACCTCTGAAAAAAAATCAAATAGCAATGTTTCCCGAGAATAGAAAGAACGTCTACTGATTGTCCATTCCCACCACACACACACATCACCCCAAAGTCAACTCTTTCTATGATAAAATTCTGTTGAATACCATAACTGATTTAGTAATTGATGTTGTACGGAATAGAAGACAGCTTGACACAGATCCAGGGAATAGAAATTGTGAATTCATTAACAAAAATGCTGTTGCTATATTCATAAATACATGAGAGAGAGAGAAAGTGCGGGGACAGTTCCTTTGTGTTTGGTTGAATCTCAGAATGTATCTGTCAGATGTGCTTCATTCATAAGTGTAAAAAATAACAAAGGATTTGACATATCTGTGGTGGACATGAGGACTTAAA